GCAGTTGCTGATAGCAGAAATGGCAATTGAAAACATTTATTGCTTGGGTTTGTCCTGTTAGTCTTCACTTTACAAAAGATACATCTTGAGCTCTGCAGATCTTTTCTAGTGTTTTTCCTTTCTGGAAGCATAACAGTCCTGTTTAACTTATTGGTTTATTTTCTCCTGTTTGTCAAACAGATATTGGTTTATGAACCATCCTACACGTTCTAAAGGGGTCCCTAACAGACTGTGCCTGTTGGATACAACCAGTGAAAATAAGTTTTGGATTAGTGTTTTATTTAGAAATTAATGTCTCAATATCCTAATTCAACATTATGTATCTAATTTATGATGGTGTTCTTCCTCTGCCACTTTAGAGGGTGTGTGTATTTCACAATGAATTATACTGCTAGGATTAATACTTCCTCTTCTCTATGGCAAAACTTGTTTTTTAGTTTGGCACAGCAAGGCTCTTTACACCTAGCCTACACTCAAATACCAAACATCCAAGCCATCCGAAACCAAACATCTAAACCAGCCAAGACTTGCTAAGGATTTCCTCTCCTTCACACTGGTTCTGAGGACTCCTTCTGAGACACTGCCATCTTACTCTTCATTAAGCTCTGGTGTGTACAGCGTTGTATTGTCTCAGAGTGCTGTCAAGTGTCCTGGCAAGAAGGTACCACTGTATACATATCATGCAAAACTCAGTGCTGGAATGGGACATACTCAAGCCTTTGAAGTGCATGTGTATCTTTCATCATATCACAATAACAAGGCTGTGCCACCCTGCCCCAACTAACTTCACCATTCAACTCATGATCTATACTTATCACTGTGAAGGAGATTGCAGCACATGCTAATACATGCTGGAATTCAAATCTGTGGCATACAAAGCAAATACTTTGTGCTTATTTCTACTGATTATGACACCTCCACTTACTAAAGTGGCTATTGCAAGTTTCAGGACAAAGCTCAGGCTACATTGCAGAGGCAGCATGTACTTTAACTTTTCATTTTCTGATGTTTCCAAAGTTTAAGTGTAACCACCCACCACATTCTCCAAGGGCACAGGGTACAACATTAACTCTGTGTTAACAAAGATTTGGGGCTTTTTATATATATTCCCCTTGACTACATGAGTAGCAATTTAAAATTATAATTTTTTTGCATGTCGCCAAAAGAAAGCATTCCTAGTGGCTGCCACACAGAGAGTACTGAAAACACTAGTTATTTTGTCATCAATGGCTGAATTTTATTTTATTGTTTTAGTTTTTCCTCTTTTAAATTAGTGCCAGATTCACAGCCCTGCAATCCTTTCTCTGCATAACAGAATGCACAGAACACAGAGTGCAGCAGCTCAAGTTCACCACAGCCTTCCCAGTCTCTTGCCTTACTCCTGACCTGGACAGACGATGTCTCATTTGATTTCCATTAGGACGAGATTTTTAGGTGATGCAGAGCAGTGGAGTTGCACTGAAATGACTATAGTGAGTCCACTTACCCCAAGAAAAGCTATGGCCCTCATCAGCCTTTGGCTTTTCTGCAAAGGCTTTTAATAAAGCACCAAGTATCCTGGCAATGTAGATACACTGGGTAGTGCTCAGAATTAGTAGTAGCAGACAGGAGCTGAGCCCAAGAACATTTTTCTTTGTTAGAGTTGAGTGCAGCTTTGCTCCTAAAATTAAAACAATTCTTACTGTTAAACAAAGGGACAACTTACACAATGACTAAAGGAATGTAATATAAGCATTAAGAAATACAACTATAAAGCAGCAAAAAGGATAGATAATTCAAGAGCTGAATTATATCAGCTTGTAATGCACTTTCTTGCTATACTGTATGCTGTCCTGACTTCTGAACTCTTCAGCTCAGTGTGCTACTAAAATATGCAAGCCCCTCGCCAGGCCTCTGTCTATGCTAAACAGTTTTACAAATCATTTCCACTGGTGTTCTAGTACCATTTAGCTGGATGGTGGTAGCACCAATGGGATCTCAAGCATGGGCAAGATTCTGAGAGTTTGAGTTTTTTTAAATCTCTGTGCCAATTTAACTTTCCTTTGTAAAAAACAGTGGAACCTGCCAGAGGCTTATCTTCCCTGTGGCTCACATCAGCCACAATTATGGGAATTTGTTTGCTAAGATTCTGGGTAGCCAAGGTCTGAATTTATGATGTTAAAAGGACAGCTAGGGAAAAGAAAGGAAAAGACCTGTTAAGTACTTATTTTTTTTTCATTTTGAAGAAAAATACGCAATTTTTTTGGCAGCTAGGACACATTTATAACAAATCAGCCAAATGAGGTAAGAATTACTTACTTTTTGTCCCTAACAGACCCTGACAATTGTCTTTCTAGGCCTTTTCACACACATGCAACTCTTTGGCCTGATGGAAAAGTTGGACTGATGAAAAGGGGGGTTGAGAAGTTGGTAAACAAAAGATCATATGTGTGCTAAGAATGCTTAAAGTTGGAATATAACCACTGTACCTGCCTATTGCTTGCTTTAGTTCAGGTCCAAATTTTCTTCACAGTACTTAGTCGAGTGAAGGCAATAAGGCACTGAGATGAGGACATGCTTGCTATGTAACTGATGCCTCAAGCATCACTTCGAAAGGTGACATTCAGATGTGTGCTATATGATCCCAGATTCCAGGTGACAACATAGCAAAGGTGGCAAGCAAAGAATGCTTGAGTGGAGTCCTCAAAAGTGGAACAGCAAGCAGCTCAGCATCAGATGTGGAAGGCTGCAATAACAGAAAACAGTGGAAGGGTCAGAGCTTTCTTTGAATCTGGTATCACGTTTAGTGGCTGCACTCAACCTATGCACTAGTAAGGTGTGGAAGATACTTAGCAAGCATTACACAAGCTCTATGGTCACACTCTGGGCACTAAGGCAGTTAATCTGAGGGAGACAAAGGTGAATACACCCTTTCCTAGGCATGTAGACACAACAACTTTGTCATCGTAACAAGAAAAAAGAATGTAATGTTTCCTAACTCGCCAAGATATGACTTGTGACTTTCTGCCTCACTTTCTCAAGGAAAGGACCCTGGATCCTTGTAAAATGTAGATCTATGTGCTTTGTGGAAAAAGCATAAAAAAATAGAAAGCTTCCCTACACCTGTATTTCTTTTCCCCATGGAAATTTAGCTGTGAACGTAGTTAGTCACAGCGTGTCAGCAAATCTTCTCTCTTCCTATGTCATGTATATTTTAAGTATAGGTCACTGTCTAGCCATAGCTAGCTTGGCCAAGAGCACTGGATTCTAGCTTTTTCTCTGCCACAGAGTTCCAGGGTGATGCCAGACAGGTCATCTGCTACACCACGCTTTTCAGAAGCAGTCACTAATTGTGTGAGCCACATTTTCTGACCTGAAACTTTAATGCCTGATTTGCAGAAGTGAGCCTCCTCACTTAGCAGCATATGAATCATTTAAAACAGGTGAAGAGGTATCTAATGCTAAATACTCTGAAAAATCAGCTCTGGCACTCTACTAGTGGGTGCTTTTGATCGTAAAACTCTCTGTGGCTCTCCTCTCCATCTGTAAAAGGGGGTGAAGAATACCCACTCACTTCCAAAGGATGCTGTATAGATAAATTCATTAACTTTCTGAAGCTTGAGTGAATACAACAGAGAAGAGATGGAGAGGAGAGCCACAGAAGCAAATAAATGCTTCTATCTTCAGAGCAGGATTTGAACATTGTGCAATAAGGCTTGCCCAATGAGGAAAAACCAAAATATAGACTAGCTAGGGTACTGTCCTTCCTGTGTATAGATTGTGGCAGGCATCCTAGGGAAAGGTAATCATGTCATTAAAGGCCATATCATAGCTGGTATGCACAAAACAACTTTAATTCTGCCTTTCTGTGACTTTGGAGTGTTCAACTTTGTGACTTCAATAGTTTTAACAGTTTGTGTATAGCATAATATACAGACATAGATAGAGAGTAGAAAGAGAAATATGGGCTCGATACAACGACCACTGAAGTTGATAGGAATTTTCCTTGGACTCCAATCGGGTTTGGATCAGGCCCTTCGTAATCTTGAGTGTTAGGGAGAAGTTTCTTGTTATTTGCCAGCACATTTGGATTCCAGCAGGAAGAGCTTTGTAAGTACAGACCCAGAGGTTATGTTTTTACCCATCTCTGGAAGCAGCAGCTGTCTCAAAAGCTTCTCCGTTTAATTAGGGGGGCAAAAGGTCAGCTGGCAGTTTAGCGACTGCTCTTATTCTTAATGAATCTTCTCCCCCAGCAGCTTCACACCCGTTGCTATTAAGCAGTCCTAGGAAGAGAAAGGAGAATAATTGCTATGAAAGATCTGAATATTTAGAGGCTGCAGGTAAGTTATAAATAGTGACTGATTAGAGTGACAAGATTAGTGTCCACCTCACCCACCTCCACCCTGTCCCTCTCACACCTGTGGGCAGGCAGGCAGACACTATCTTTTTGATTATTTGGATTGAGGCACTGCCCCTCTCTCTGGAGTTCTCATTTTAGACCCTTATTAGACACCAAGGTGACTGAATACCTGGGGGACAAGTTCCTCTCAAGCAGAGCTGGGATCTTCCTCATTCAGCCTTGCATGGTCTCAAACCTGTCTTGGCTACAGAAACGAAACTCATCTGCCTTGTTCGCCTGATTCCCCACAGCAGCCTTTGCCTTTTTCCTGCGGGTCAGAGCATAGGAGAGAAACAGCTTATTTGGGAGTCCATTTTTATGCTGCAGAATTGAGAACCGAAACCTTCCCTTTGAGCCTCCCTGGATTACGCTGCCCACGCAGCACATTGCCCCTGGCTTTTCAGGAGCGCTAGAAAGGGGCCAGTTTGCTTTCCCTAAGTCTCCCCTCCTGCTCTCCTCTGCCCTGCACAGCTGGAACATCTGGGGAAGGCAGAAGCCAGTGCCCACCTCCAGAGCGCCCTGGCCAGCAGGCACGAGGAGTGGCTAGCTCGGGAGGCCTTTCCCTGAGCAAGGTCTTAATGCGAGTGGCCTGCAGCACCCGCGCCAGAGCCCCGCTGCCAGCAGTCCCAAGCTCCGGCTGCGCGGGGATGGGGCACGAGCTGCTCTGGGACTAGCGGAGAGTTCATGTGGGCAAAGGCTGTCCGGGCAGGCGGCGGCCCGAGGGGGGAGAGGAGCATCCCGCAGTCCTCGGCTCGCCTCCTTTAATGGGGGTGGCAAATGCGATTAACTGTGCATTCCTCGGGGGTGACCTTTCGCACCGAGCCTGCTGAGAGAGGAAAGGGGCCGAGTGGGTCCTGCGGGAGCCGCCTGCGAGCTTTCCCTGGTGGAAGTCGCTGGAAGTGTTAAAGGGGGCGGATAACGCGGGCTTCGGCGGCTCCTGGCCAATGATGTGGAGGGGCTCGGAGCGCCGCTCTCAGCTGGCAGACATTTAAATGGGAGACAGCTCGGCGCTGCTGCAATTTGGAGGCAGGATCCGAGACTCCCTCTATATGGACTCGCTGGCAGCCCCAGGCTCTCAGCCCCGCGCAGCGCCCGGCCGCCCAGCCCTGTGACCGCGTCCAGCACCGCCAAGACCGGCCGGGACACGCAGGCGCCCTGCAGGTGAGC